GGATTCGACCTCGGTGAAGCCATACTGGGTCTCCCTTATCAGCTCCCTGCTTTTCATATGCCTTAGCATAGATTCCAAGAGAATCTGCTCCATGATCTTTCCCAGCACAGTGGTGAGACTAACAGGTTGGTAGCTCCCAGGGTCATCCAGTCATTTGAAGTAAATTTTAATTGCAAGAGGAGTTAGGGACAGGAAAGCAAGGCTCCTACAATTGTTTCACTTGCTCCTGACTTTTAAAATGAGCAAGTTCTAGTACTTAAACAAGTCAAAAAAGTCACCTTATTTTCACATACTTCTTTAGGAGAGCCATGACTACCGATGAGACTCTCCCAGAACAGAAACGGTTTCATTTTCAGCCCTCCTCATTCAAATTTTCAGTCACTCCATTCAAAAAACTCCCAAAGGACGATACTCGTCTGCCTGTAATGCTATCAGTGGGATGAATGGCCCCAAAGCACACAGCGTGTGAGGATGAAATTATTATTTTGGTATTATTACAAAAATAATTGTAACCTGAGGGAAAAGCAGAGGTTATCACTGGGCTCACACCCACTGCTCTTTTCCTTCCAACATTCAGGGCGTTAAGTAGATTGCCTCTGGTGAACCTCAAGCCAAGTAGGATAAGAAAGCCTCCCGAAGGCAGCAGGAATCGTGCTGGGCTTCAGCAGGCAGCTTTAACAAGTCTGCCTCAAGATGCACCAGCAGCAATTTTCATCAAGATATTAAATAACCCAAACCCTCTCAGATTATCATGGAGAGGAAAAAAAACACACGCTACAGGTTTGGTTCAGGGCTGGTGCGTCAGCATTTTATCTATGGATCTATCGATACTACTTCTACTGCTCTATTTTGAAGTGTCAAAAAGAGAAGTCAGTCTACAGCAGGAAAGCTGAACAGTTTCTTAGAAGGTAGAGCCCACGTTCTTTTCAGTCACACACAACAAAGGCTAATAACCAAGTTAAATCATCTTCAGGATAGATGCAAGCTAAAGACAATTTATGTTTAAAGTTAAAATTTGATTTCTAATACTAAGTCATGAGGTATTAATCTAGTTAAAGACAGTTTCAGACACCACGAGAACAAGTAAAAATTATTTTCTATCAAAAAAACCTGTACAACATTTCCCAAAATTAAGTAAAAGTAGCTGAGCCTCACCTTATCAGAGCAAATTCTTTTTACTGAGCTAAAACTGGTGGAGAAAAGGATGCCATTTTATTTCCACAAGCTAACAAGCTGTTGTTGCTTTTACCTTAGGAACCACGTTCCAAAATTAACACACCTTTGTACAATATTCCAACATTAGATATTATTTCAAATGGTCCTTAAAGACTTAGCGGAAGTTATCAAAACATTGTGAAGTACCCAAAATTCATCCCATCATTTGAGGACCAAACTATCACTCTTTGCCTTAACATTTCATTATCATATGTCACCCAGGATTCACAAACCCACTAAAAAATTGGTGAGACCTGATCTCCAGATAAAGAGCTAGCTTCCTGGAAGGAAAGGTACCATACTTACTGAAGAAAGAATTCCAGCACACAAGTCAGTTGAGACACTGAACAGTTTGATGAGACTCATTCTTAGCAAATACTGGATTTGCTGGATGCTTCCTATTTGCTCACTTCAACATTGGCAAAGTCAACTCATGTGCCAAAGGCAGCACTCAGGTCTTCAAATTACTGTATCTGCATTTGAGATCTGATGTCAGCCAAAACTTCTTTATTTTTGGTGTCATTCTGTGATACTTGACTCACGTGAGCAAACTTTCCTCCCTACCTAGCAAGCCCAGTCCTTCAGCCTTTCAAATAATACATCTCACCAAAAAAATGCATCTCACAAAACCTACAAAAAAAAAACAAAAAACAAAACCAAGCTCACAAAATCCAACTGCTTTTTACAAGATCAGTGCACACCATCAGGAAAGATGTGCAAAAGGCACTCTTCCAAGTGCTTATCTTTGCTCCTCATCTTGTCATATTCCATGTCACTCTTCTAGTGACAAAGGTGGAAAACAACTACAAGAGTCCTTATTCTTGGAATCAAGAATCAAAGATTCAGGCCCACCTGACAGAAAAGATGCGTTAGTAAAATCTCTATCAATAACTACATGTTTTATTTTTTCCCCTTTGATTCATCAATCTGTTTTCTCTAAATCACAAGACATGAAAGCAATGAAGAAAGGTCAATCAGGCTGGGCAAGAGTCATCAAACTCCACATTCACATTAGTATTTTGAACATAATAGCAAGACTGTTCAAGTGTCAGAGCAAAGGCTAGGACTTTCAGTTCGAGCACTGCATCAGCATTATCACATCACACTGCAAACCCACAAGTACATCGTTAGTGGACCATACACAGTAAGTTACAATACCTGAGGTTTAGTGCATTCCTGTGAGCCAAAATGAAATGAATGCCATATAGGAGGAAAGGAAAAGATGAACGTTATCAGACATGCCATAGTACATTCCACAGCTATGAAGATAATGTTAAAATTATGTTAATGAGGGTCCACTCTCTACTACATTTTGGCTTAATGTGCAGAAAGTCATGCCACAGCTAAGAGCACTGCATTTAAGTTTGTGAAAAGCACAGCCATGCATTTAATCCCTCTGTATTTCCATAAAACTTTCCTCAGAAAACAGTTTGGACTTCCTGAAGTATTGGTAGTACAGCCTTAGTGATTTATCAACCAAAATTCACACTACGTGATAAATAAGAGTTTGAATTAAGAGAAAAAAATAAGCAATTATACAGTTAATACATTTAGGAACGATTTTGAGGATGCTACCAAAGCAGCTCTATTATTTTAAACATCATGCATCTAACACCTGAACAAGATTCTATCCACAACAAAGAGCAAATTTCAAAACAAATGCATTGCATTCAGTCATTTTCAATGCCTTTAACATTATTTATGCAGTATTTGTACGTCTACTTCTATTTATTTTAAATGCTGCTCACTGTTCATTCCTACGTGGAGCCAAAGATGAGACCCTGACAAACGCTGACTAACAAGCCCTTAAGGTCTGTGCTGCAATATGCTCTGAATTCCTGTGTCGTTGTTTTTTGATCCATAATTTCTTTAGTTGAATTGTCAAGAAATTAACACTAAAAAATATGAGCTATCAGGGGATAGAAAATAGGAAGGGAGAAGAGACAGAGCAGTCTTTAAGATGCGTGTTTGAAGCAATAGAAAAGTTATTGGCAAGAGACAGGAGAGCATTATACAAGATCACTAAAAGCTGTGAAAATAGGAAGGAATGGAGAACATGGAGAAAGAGCCTTCACTACACTGTAAAACTCATTTGAGTTCTGTTTGACTCACTGTTTGCTTTGAGAAATATAAAGTCACTCATACACATCATATTACTTTTTAAAGCAACATTTTACTGCAATTATTGCAGATTTTATGGTTTATTTGGTAATCTCTTCCAAATCAAAAAGAAATCCCTCTCGCAATGAGTTTACCAGCACATACACAAAATCATTATGAACACAACAAAAGCGGTGCAAAATAGGCTTTTGCTCTCACTGCCAAAGTTGAACTTAGAAAAACTCACCATGTATACCTAAAGTAGTACAAAGCAGGCATAGACCTATGAATGCAAATGGCATTGCATATTATCTAATTATTACCCTATGTATTGAATAAAAATCACCCCAGAATGGTTTGCTGGGCTCGCTGTAAACATCAATATCAACAGGAAAAAATTCTTCCTGTGCTCCTAAGTCCTATGAAGTACATTTCTGCATTTTCATTTGCCAAGAATAAAATCAGTAAACTGTTTCCTCTTCAAATCGAGTGAACTGGTTCAAATCATATTAAATTCAGAGGCAATTAAAACTGCACTGAAAATTAAACCATTGAAAACTGTTGTATAAACAAAAAACAAATTGTTGGCATAAGTAATTATTCAACTTATGAGGAAAAGCCTGTATAATTAACAAGAGATGTAACTAAACATCTACACACTTAGAGACACACATGGAATATCCTGTGATCGGCCAAAGAAATCAAAGGATAAGGATAAAGGCAAAAAAAGGAAGAAGCCTACAGCTCTGCATTGGACCAAAGATGGCTATTTTAAAAGCTAAAGCTCTAAGCCTGCACATTTATCTGCACGTGGTTTACATTGTGCAAAACTCAGCCAAATGAACTCACCAAGACTGAATATGCACAAAGTTACTTGCATCCAGGCCTGTATGGTTTTTGCAAATTTGAAGGCTTGAGCAATCAAGTGTGAGCCAAAGACAAACAGCTTTGCCAGTATTTTGTTTACAGTTGAAATCAATACAAACATTAATCTCAGAGACCTTTCCCCAGTTTAAAAGGCACATAACAAAACCTTCTGTAGAATACAATTTAATTACTATTTTGATCCCAGGAGAAAGTCCATAAGCTTTCAACATGTAAGATTACCCAATGAAAGGAAATCAAGTGAAATGACCAAAGGATCTCCCTAATGAAGGGCAGAACACATAGCTCACTGAAACTCATGTATATGAAGGGCTCGATGCAGATATCAATGAAGAGTAATTTGACATCTAAGCTCTAGATTCCAAGAAGAAACAACAGAATTAAGCCAAGAATCTGGCCTACGACAATGCAGTCCAGTCTATTTTCTGGAACAGCAGTTATCATGTATGTGGATGAGTGCTTCACCAAGTTACCAAGAGCACTGTACATTAAACCCCTTGCACTGTAATCTAATATCAAATAGAAATTAGAGCAGGTTTTTCCCCACAATTTCACATAGTAATGACTCCAACACTAAGAAATAATAGCTGACATTCACAGTCAGAAACCATGCTTTCAACCATGAGCTAAAAGGGAAGTTACACACACTCACCTACTGATAGCAGCAAATTCACATTACGTTAAGGGGAAACTCCTCCCCTGCAAAAACACGCAGTTTAAAGATGCCAACACATCCAGACATTTTGATTTTTATATTTAGCACTGTTTCTGTTGTTGTGAAACAAATGCAGGCAGCTTACCGTATGGTAGCCTCTGGGCAGAGGTGGCTTCCCCACAGGATAAGGATCAACAGTATCAATAATTGTTTGTCGCTCCCCTTTTTGGTTGATTTTCCTAAACCTCCTTCGAGATTGCCTGTGAGAAGCTTGGCGCTGAAAATATTCTTCATTTTCATCCATATAATCAACCTATAATAGATTCAAGGAAGCATCATTTCCCATAAGAAATAAAAACGCTTTTGCATGTTAGAAACACAACTAATTCTAGTTCAAAATCAGCAGTCAGCTGTGAATTTCCTGCACTTTCAGGACTACGCAGAGTGAAGGCATTAAAAAAAAAAAATAGAAATCAAATGCCCAGAGAGATAATAAAGAAATATAGCTATGAATGGAAGTACCGAGTATCAATACTTCTTTCAAAAATGCTGTCTCCATCTGCTGTCTCTCAGTTCTTTTTCTTGCACTGAAACTGCTGAAGACATTATTAAAAAACTTGTACAGGAGAGTACTTGGTAGTTTTCCTACTGACTTCTCTTTGATGCTGCAGATCTTTCCTAACCAACCTAAGGCAAAAGCTTTGCTTTTCAATAAGCAGCACTGCTTAGTATTATTTACCTCTATATTTCGAAGAGCATATAAACACATTTTCTAACAGATTGGATTAATATAAAAACAAATTCAAAACAATAGCAGGGAGAATAAAGACACCTATTAGGTTTATCCTAATAAGAGGCTAAAGTAAAGCTCCTTGGTTTCAGATCCTTCATCATCCTAAATTACTAAACAACAGCACAGTGCAAAGAAAAATATTTCAACTAAGAACTCTGGCTTTCCTGAAAGAACATTGGTTTTTTTAGTAATTTGGCTAAGAGTCAACATCCCTTCTATGTTCACCCTATCAACAGAAACACTACTCTACACCAACAGGGCAACAAGAGAAAGCTTTTCATTACTGGCCACACGTGTGGATTCAGTTAATCCATTCTTCAATTGATTTGAACATGCCAGCGATAAAGGTAGAGGTGCAGAGAAGGGATTACCAGGCACCTAGCAAGGGCCCTCTGTATTTTTCAGTAAGAAAAATAAATATTGGACAAACACTCCCAAGGATTTGCAGCAAATCAGTCAGAAGTGTCACGTGCTAGCCAGCTCACATCACTGAACGTAGCTTCCAATGTACAAGGGGTGAGCACAGTTTACCTGGTTTACCAGCTGGTGACCCTGCCTGTCCAGAACTTTACTTCTATTTTCCTTATGCCTACATTTCAAAAGTGCCTACGCTTCCCAAAAACTTATCAGGGTAGAAATGGCCAAAACAGACAGATGCTCACACAACCAACTGAGCTACATCCCAGCAGAGAACATTGGGACCATGCATCCTTTCCTGAACTTGTGGTCAGACATCAGTGACACAAACAGGTGAGATAAATCATGGGGCTGGCACAGGGCATTAGCAGTGGGCTGCTGCTGAGGAGCTGCTTCTAAGTAAGGGAGAATTGCAGAGAGCTTTAGGGCCAAGGAAAAAGCAATCAGCATGTCTTACTCATGCCTTCCATCTCCGTACTGAATTAGCTTCATAAGACAGGTTTCTCCAGTGGAAATAGGAGAGGTGACCACTTTTTCAGATGATGCACCCTCATGTGACAGCTAAAAACTTGTGTGCCTATGAAGCCTAAAAAATGATGCTGTTCTACAACAGACACCACCAACAGAACAGCTTACACGTAGAAAAGCTGACAGTACTTGATAATTTGCAAACCGATTCTTAAAACCTGCTAGCCGAAAATACATTTCATTTAATCAAACAATTACTTAAACGAGCCTGAGATTAATACTTTAAAGTACTTATGCTTTAAGTAAAGCAGCTGCTAACTACATATATGTATTCTGCTATTCTGCTAACACAAGCAAAAGTTGCAGGGTTACAAGGAAACTGCAACAGCATAAAAAGATGCCTCTCACTTAAGTATGGTATGCAAAAAAAGTAAAGTTACGCATGACATCTTGCATTTATAAATGCTAACGTGCAAACAGATCTCAACATGTTTTATTGAAAACTGAAGTGCTTATCAAGGCTGGTCTGTAAAATAAAGCTCTATTCTGAAAAAGAAAAAAAAAAAAAAATTGAAGAAATGGAATGAAAATATTCTTACCACAATCATTTCAGAAGGCTCTAAAACAATGCATTCACAGCCACGCCTGAAGCTTCCTGCAGAACGCTTGCCAAAACTGAAGAACAAAAATACATCCATCAGAACAAAAGTCAGATCCATAACAAAATCCATAAGCATATTTACGTTCTACCCAGATCTTATAAAGCATAGAAAAGTACATACACCCCTATTCACAACGTAACAGTTTCATGCACACGGCCTCCTACACATAGCTGCTACCCGCTGACACCAGGAGCAGTGTATTTCTGATTCACATAGTTTACTGAGAGTAACTGCCAAATAATTCCATTAGCACTAAAACAAATGTCAGTCAAGCACAGGGTACTTAAGATGCATGGCTGATTCTGAGCTACATTGGAGTTTGAACTAGTATCTTCTTCTGGCATTACAGTATTAAGTTACTTAAACCATCTGCATTTCTGTAAAGAAAGCTAACTAGCATGTAAAGGAAAGAATAAAAAGACTGATCAACTTCAATGAGCTTTTTTTTGTTTGGGTTTGGTTTTTAACTCAAAAAAAATTAATGAAGTACTCTGAATGTAAGAGTATTCTCAAACTGAACAGATAAAGGCAAAAGCTTTTTCTGCTTTCCATCACATATTCCCACATTAGCACAACAATTAAGAAGGATAATATTTTGGCTTCCTATAGGATAAAATAAAATAGCAATTCTAGTTTCTATTTCTGAAGTGCTGGCCTGTATTAAATAAGTGTGTTTCTGCAGGCTCAAGTGCAAAGAATCAGGGAAAAACAGCAGCAGAGGTGCAGCATAGAGACACAGTACATAATTCAGTGAAATACAATACAAGCCTTCCTATGCTTAGATATGCAGTCCAGGTGGAAGGAAAAAACAGCTGAAGATGGTTTCTGAGGTGTGTTCTTCCCACTACCCATCCCCATCTGGTTAGCTCCTATTCAGACCTGACCTTTGCTGTTGCAAACAGGACAACAGGAGCTGTGGTAATTCTGGACTCACCCTGCAGCCTTTTCTAGCAAGCCTGCTCTAACATCCATCTCCCACAGGTTAATGTAATCATTTGGCCTTTTTGTTTCTGCAGTATTGGGCTCAAGAAAGCACGGAAAGCCTTGCCTTGACCTTATCTCCATGCAGCCAAGCTATTGGCAAGGCACTGGGCTTCCAAATGTTCCTCAGGCTTTTCAAAAGCCATCTTTGTTTCCTCAAATTCTCTTATATCCAGCATGGAAAAGAATATGGATACGTCTGTGTATACACACATTTTTCCATGCACAAATAAATGAGAACACACGCAAAAATAAAAGGCACAGGAAAAGGGGTTGAAGAACTTCAGAAGGCCACTATTAAGGAAGCTTAAGAAAGCCAAATCAGACTAAAAAAGATCGTAGGATCTACAATTTAAGCACTTATGGAATATGTAGGCACAGGGACACACGCAGAGTTGGTGAAAAGTACCTTTTTAAAAATCATTTCCTAATAAGCAAACTTCAGAAGCTCATATACCAATCTGAACAGCACGTCTAGCCAGTTTAGATCTGCTCTGCTGTCCTGCCTGGCGATTAGCAGAAATGAACAATTTAACTTGCTACCCCAAAGGCTAATCTCTTAACAACAGCACGTTACAGCTCCAAAAGAAGGCAGTCACATACTGAAAAGAAATGCCAGCTGTGCTTATTCATCAAAAAAAAATCGTGTTTAATGGTACACGGGACTTCGACAATAGAAAAAATTTTCCAGAATACTAAGCCTCTTGAAAAGAAACATGCAATAAAGAAATCTCTCAACAAAATGCATATTTTCCTAGAGGCAAACACATGCTTCCCTCTACAGTCCTGCGACAAACCACAGGGTGCTTCACTCTGCTGCGCCCTCCTGAATTTTTACAGAATTTCAACTCTTAAAGGTACAGGAAAATGAAGCCGTATCTCGATTCATTAGAGCACTGAAGAAGTGACAAACTTATTTTCTTGGCCGTTAATCTGATGCGAGGCACAGTGCTTCCTTAAAATCTCACTGGAGAGGGAGGAAAGAGCAAAGAGGAAGGAGATGGTAGATGTTTTATTCCTGTGACAGCACATTTATCAGAGCACACAATCCTTGAACAAAGACGCCAAGTCACTTCAAGTTATAAACAAACCGTAATCTTCATTAAATATTGCATTTATGACAGCAAGTAAATCAAGGCCGAAAATATTGCATTTTTTAAGTGTTGCAGTTCTCTCCTCAGATGTGCCATTGCAACTGAACCTCCTTACCTCCAATCTGCTACTGAAAGCACATTATCAGCAAGGAGCTCAGGTAATCAGTGAGAAGGAGGAGCCCACTGCCTCTACACATGCTCAGCTATGACCAGCTCCGATGATGGTGCAACATTCAGGGCAGTATTTGCATGATACCTGTACCAGAGCCACAGGGAGCGAGAGGATGGTCCAACCCCAATATCTAGTCTAAACCTACCCTCTTTTTTACCCTCCAGTTTAAAACCATTTCTGGTTGGACCATCCTCTCGCTACCCGCCCTTCTAAAAGGGCAGCTTTCCTGTAGCCACTCATCATTTGATTAACTGCACATAGTCATACAAACGTGTGCTGGCACACAACTGACAAACAAATGAAATCTGACGGCACCACCAATCCCACTGATTCAATTCAGAAGACCAACATCAAAATCAAGTTTTTTTTTTGGTTTTTTTTTTTTTTGTTTTTTTTTTATATATATCAAAATTAATTTATCAGTGCTCAATACAAGAGCAAAAAGTAGACTAAAAGAGGACACTTTCTCTGCTCCAAAACTTCAGCTAAACTAACTAGCCACCAGGTAGAGGAAAACACGAAACAAACTTGATTTAATTGAACAAAAATAAGTTGTTTGAAATATTAGTAAGAACCAGAAAGAACCAAATAACCAGTGCATAATACAGCCTATTCACCGAGCTAATCAACAAGTGCAAGCTGTACAGCTTCTACAAAACACCAGAGGAATGGTTTGAGTTGGAAGGGACCTGTAAGATCATCTAGATCCAAACCCCCTGCTATAGGCAGGGACATCTCCCAGTAGACCAGGCTGCTCACAGCCAACCAGGTTGGACCAGTCAGGTACTGGAAGGCCACTATAAGTTCCCCCTACAGCCTTCCCCTCTCTGACTGAAGAGCCCCAACTCTCCAGCCTGTCCTCGTATGAGAGTATCATCCCTGGGATCACACTCAAAGTCTAAGAAACTCATTAGGTTTTCCTCCTAGCACAGAGCTCCACCTGCAGAGTCAAATGTCAGCCCCTGGAGGACTCAACATTACCTTCAGAACAGCAGCCCTGTTTTAGTAACTTTTGCTCAATACTTGTTTTTCCCAGATTCTGATGTAGACCAGACTTAGATAAAAATGAGTGTGACTACCCAGATTTATCACGAAATACGCAGTCTATGAGAGCACTGGCTGGGTAATGCAAAATATAGAAAGCCCTTACTAGCTGATTTCCAAGGTCTAGGGATTTGACAAATTTATTCCTTTCCTTACTGTAGTGTGAAATAAGGTTATGGATAATCAATTTCACCAGAGATCTTAAGATTACACCACATTTTTATGTTTAAAATGCAGTATTTTGCATCATCTACACACTGCATTTGGTTCTATCACTCCTTAGTCATTTCATTCTAGCATGCCTTGTTGCATAAAGATAAAATCTTCTCCTACCTAACCCTTATTAATTTCAGCTCCTACAAATAACCCGTTTGCAGCTAAGTCCACAATGCACCTGAGAGAATCCCAGCTTTGCACTAGGGGATGCAGAGGTTAACAGTAATGCAGACAGCCAAGAGGCTGCTGGGTTAGGATGTTGCTGCCCCACCTAAATTCCCCAAAGAACCTTGTTTTACAGCAGTTCTTCCAACACTTCTTTGCTGCTACGATACAAATTCTGACTCAGGGCCTCTTGAGTGTTAAACCTCACAGATGCTCTCCTCAGTACCTGTCCTGGAGGCAATTTTGCTTCTCAAGTCCTTTTGTATCACAGTTCCTTTTTTTTTCCCCCATAAAGCTACCGGATGCATGATGTGAATATAAATCTACATTTAAAAAAAAAAAAAAGCCCTTTAAAATATACCAAACTATTTTATTTGCAGGAAATGTTAACACTTTATAGTAAGTCCTGGCATAACAATTTTGAAATCAGATGATAAAAATATATGTATATTCTTCCTAAGCAACACTTCCTAACTATAATATTTCCTAAAACAATTGGTGGAAAAGAAAGCAATTGGTGAAAAACTGGTGACCAAGAGAATTACTGACTTGACTATTCAAAGGCATCACCTCCAAATAAATTCACTGTTACAAACATTTTGCTCACTATTTATATTTATAAATATAAATATAGGTGTTCTAATCCATAGAAGTCATCTACAACTTTATTTCCATTGTCATGAATTCTGAAACTGAGCTCACGCTGTGGATGATACTTCCCTTCTCCATAAATATATATATATCTCAACTATTTCTGTTTAACTCATATACACCCATACAAGGGACTGATGTATTGCAGTTTACAATGTTCTGGTTAATAGAAGAAACCTTCTAAGTGAAAACTAAGAGTTTCTATATCCCCAGTTAAGGTTTGTTTGTTTTTTAAATGAAAATTGAAAATGTCAAGTCTTTACGATAACTAAATTACAATTAATGCAAAAAAGCCAGTGACTAAAAGCAAAATGAGAATAACTTGAGGTTAAAAAAATAATTAAAAATAAGTACTTTCAAGCAAGCAATTTTTATAAGCACTTACATGTAATAGAACATACACAACCATAGTTTTGCTCTTTTTATCGAAGCTTAATTTTCTGTTACATTTACCACCTTGCAGTAGCTTAAAATAATTAATTCATGTATGAACTACAAGTGGTACCAAGATGACATTTAAGTCTTAGAGAGAAAGCTCCACAAAGCGCGGGCAGTTGGATGCATCTGTAAATGCAATATTCAGAGCCAAGCTGCTGCTTTAGAACCAACTCTAATTAATTGCCATTTCCTCTAATCCAGAAAGCATATTCCATTTAGACACGTTCCAACACAATGAAAAATACAGGCAGA